GAACTATGGGGGCTGTTTTCGCATTTTAGAAAACTGTTGTAATAAAGTGTAATAGAAATTAATTAAAATACTCTATGTTGACAGAGTTATATAAATACTCTATGTTAACGTTGACAACGAAAATATGATGATTAGGGTTCAACTTAGGTAAGGAGAAGTAAAAAAAAACTGATATAATTTACGATTGAGTTACTATTTAAATAAATCAAACACTAAAAACCTAAAATGAATATAGCAAACATCCAAACAATAAGAAAAAAACTCAAACTGTGTAGTAATGTTTAAATAAACATTAGTACTACAAACGGGATTTTATAATTGGATACACGTTGCATCTCACAATACTTCTAGAAGTGATGATGTTGTTCGTCAGTAAATTCAGTTTTTCATAGGGAAGAATTAAAAAAATGCTCTGTAGGCCTATATAAATAAACAATATAATCAAAGTTAAATTTAAATACAGATCAAAGGTAGTCCAAACTGGCGAAAAAGTGCGTTTTGGGGTCAGTTTTTGCGGTTTTCAAAAATAAAAGGTCACTACTTCTAGTTGTCCTATAAGAATAAAAATTATATGTCAATAAAGTTTAAGTCTTTATCTGTCGTATTCTGGTATTTTTATATCTGTAACACATGTTTGAATGTGTTTTATATTTGTTTCAAAAGTATCAGTTACGTCAACAAATTTCACCGTTTTGCGAGTACCGATCGACCCCACACTGTCATATTTGGTCGCGGCTTCGCGACGAAGCATCTTAGAAGCATAATCTAAGCGAATTCTAGGCTATTGTTTGATGTATAAATTGAAAAAAAAATAACTTGTTTATTTTATTTTTAAAAAATCAGTTTTTAAACTTTAACTGACGATATATACACGAAAACAAACTAATTCTGTTTCAATTTTTACACCGATGTAAAGTTCACTTTTATAACTACTTTGTGTTGTAAATTCAAGTATTTCTGATTTACGGTCGCGAAGCCGTGCCCTCGATAAACATATAGACCTCGAGCCGACTTTCAACCCCGAGTGAGTAGCTCGCCGAACGGTTTTAAAGGTTGACGACCGACGATGCTAAACGGATTTTACACTTGCTAGAGCCTTCAAACAAGTTGTAAGTACCATTTTTAAAGTTTCATTTCCATTTTAATAAATGAATTTTAAGTTTGAATGTCAATTTGGTTTAATTAGTACACGTTATTAATGTAAATTTAGCGTGTGAACTACGATTGCACACATAATGTGTTTAGACGGGAAGCTATTTAATTCAGGACATTCTATGGATTTAAAATATGGATGCACTTAACTATTAGATGCTAGTGTTTACTAATTCTTTAAAATCTAACGAATGGGATTAATGATAGGGTCGTATTACTAAAGTTTATCTGGACTATCACGTCAAAATTATGAATCGACAAATTCAAAATGGCCACCAGACAATCCTGGTTACTTTCTGGACGAACGCAATTATTTACAAGGAACGAAGGTTAAATACTTACAAAATACTAATGAAACTCAAAAGAAATTTATAATTATAATAACTATTTTTGTAAATACATTTTTATCAATTTTTTAAAAGCTAAAGACACAAAATTTTAAGGACTAATGTAATTATTTTTTTTTTTTTTTCTGTTGTTCACTCTGATTCTGATTCCCATGCTGAATAATGTGAAATGGTCCGCGCTAGTCTCGTTAATAAAATGTACCAAATCAGTTTTTAGATGGTGGTGTAATTTTTTAAGATTGTACATGTTGTGACTTAGTTTTAAATGTTATCTATATATATAATTCTCTTCTTGGAGACCATAGAAAACACCAAGCTCTTAGCGCGCCTCCTAGCAGCCCCCTCTCTTCCTCTCTAGGCATATCCTACCACCCTCACCCCCACATAGTCTGATGAGCTGTGGTTCACGCTAAATGTTTACAATCGTAGAGCCGGGTTTAGTGACGGCTATTAGGGGCAGATAATTTAGTTTGAAACGATTTTAAACTTAGGGGAGGTAACTAAGGGGGGGGGGGGGGGCTGGTTTCACGGGGGGGGGGGGGTTGGGGGAAAGGAGGGTTTTAGTGTTTTACAGCAAATATTATCAGTGGCAGCATTCAAATTATGAATTACTGAAAAGTTTAAAATAAAAAAAACTAAATAGCGGCGTATGATTCACCGCGGGTCGGCTCGTATAATATATTATTTGTAAGAGTAAGTAGTACTAGTAGTATTTCTCATTATTTTTTTTTTATAGGACAGTTAAGTTGTCCTATAGGATGTTGAGAACCACAGTATGGCATCTTCATCATTGGATATCTCAACCAGTGTGGCACATTCAACGAATATTTCATTCAGTAGAATTACTATTAAAAATATACTATCAAGTATACATTACTTTTAACAAAAAAATGTGTTTTCAGGCTTTTTCATGTTTCCCAAAACATATCACTTACTCTTGACGCTCCACAACATCAAGGTTGAGGGAAACAAGACGTACAAAGATGTGGCGTTTTAGTTTTAAAACTGTTCCTCCAAAGCAGTTATCTACCTGATAGGTTTGATTGTAGCATCAACTGCTGCATCACTTGTAGGCATCACGTTTTTATTAGACTACATTACATTACATTACTCAACTAATTTTTTATTCTGTTTCTCCTGCACTAGATAACTGTGGCATTTTTTTAAAATAATATTTTAATTCATGTGATTTTTTGAAAATAATGAACACATTCTTCCTGTTAATGTTACCAACACAATAGTTTTAGAATTATTCATGTCCAAAGCAACAACAAAAAATTGAATATTTTTTTTTTGTATGAAAATAAAAGTGACCAAAACGCATTTTTGTCATTTTCAATTATTTTTTTATCTTAGAAATTACTCACTCCAGAAGTCTGCAATCAATTGTTAATTTCAGTTTGGACTACCTGTGTTTAATGACACATTTACTATTTCGAACAGTATTGTTAATAATTCATTTCAGGAGATTGAAATTGATTTAGCCATAAATCGTGATCTATTATTCAGTTATCTGTAATATTTTATTAAAACATACGAAAATATAGTCCTACTCGTATTTAAAGACATTCATTAATTCCCTCTCTCCCACATTACTATAAGCTTCGGCCGAATTTACAACGCTAAACGTATTCAGCATATATTTTAGGCTATTATTAGTAGCTCACTACAAATAGCCCTCAGAAGGCTATTTTAGTATTTGTAGTTAACTACGAATGGACACTCTTTCAGAATATCTATCATGGAGTTCGTGTAGATATAGTAGAGCCAATCATGTGTAACACTCACTCAGTGGGGATGTTTTTAACCCACTGAGGTGTTGTGGTTAAGACGGGCTGACCCTGAGATTTAGAATGCACTGAAACGACGCTGTTGTCAACTACTGGCTTTATCGGCATTACATCAAGCCATAAACGGCGATGTAGAAGAACAGTAGTAAACAGTGTAGAAAACAGTAGACCACGACTTATAGATGAATAATGAATTATATCCCTAAAACAAATGTAAACAAAAGGTTATCACTGGCAATACCATGTGTAGGCTACAAAAATACACTGGTGCAATAAAATATGTTACTGCCAATAAGTAGCAATAAGTAGCACAATAAAAACTACTTAAATAAATAGTCAACACCTAACTAGTGCGCAACATGCGGCATTAGCAGGAACAATACCTCTAGGTACCGTCACCCTCCGTGTGCACAGACAGCAGCTTTGGGTCTGACTGACACGGCTAGGCACGAACTACCCATAGGTAAAATCGCTCACCAAGGAACATGCAAAAAAACTACATCAACAGGGGTGCGGTCCTACAGGGCCGCAACCCAATGAATTACAACTTTATTACTTATCCCCCCTTGGCTAGTAACCATGTGTTACACATGTTTGTGTTATGAAAGTGAAAGTTAAACAATGTTTAAACTTAGGTTTCATGAAAATAAAGTTGAAATGTAGCCTTAAATTCTCAAATTTATGTTTAAGTCCTCTGGATTTGCAACTTCTTTAACATTGATTTAAAAAAAAAACTTAAATTTTGGAAATATTGTCATACTTAAGTTCTTATTTTTTAAAATTATTTTTATGTCGCCTTAAGTGAAGTGATCGGGAGTGATTTCCCCTAAACTTTTTAGTACATTCGTTTAACCCAGTAAGAAAGATGACACGTTCAGGGAAAGCATGCAATATAAATGAATATTTTATTGCTTAAAAAAAAACAACTTAAATTAAAAAAAATAATTTAATTGAGTAGAACAAAGAATTACATACCAAAATGAACGTGTATTATTGAGCGAAAAATTAGTAATTTATCAAGGAAACATTGATTAATTTATCAAAAAATTATTAAACATCTAATTAAGCCATTTTCATTTTGTTGTTGCCCTCTTGACAAGTTTGAAATAAATCCGTCCAGTAAAAGTAACATTGTTTGAGAAATTATAAATACCTTAAAGAGAGAAAAATAGACAGACGTATCTGTAAAACGAATTACTGCCTGACTGACCGACGGACGTGCATTTGTGCATTTTCTTTGTGTACAATTTTGTAATTGCGCATTTTTCTGTTTGCGCAATTTCCTAGCTACGCATTATTCTGTGTCCGCATTTTTCTGCTTGCGCAATACTCACTCACGCACTTTTTTGCAAGTGGTCGAATATTCACCCCCCCCCCCTTAAGAATGAAAGAGAACCGCACAAATTGGCAATAGAAATTCCTCAGCAAATTATTTGCTAGTACCCCATCTAATTTAAGGTGTGTTTAACAGACTCCACTTGCTTGAAAGGTTAATGAGGAGGATGTCAGAAGAGGGAGATGTCAGCTTGATTTTTCTGACAAGAGGGAGGGAGTGTGAGGGTGGTTGGTAAAAATCGTTTAAAATTGCGTAACATTATTTTTAGTATAGGCTAAATTATAGTATATCATAGTACAAAATAGAGCTAGTGTAATTAATTATATAATTCTATCATGTAAATCTTAAAATGCATTTAAATAACATTTATTGCAGATTTCCGAAACAATGTGGACTGAACTTATTATACAATGCTTTCCTAACCCTGTAGCCACAAGTGTGCTGTTTATCATTATAATTTTAGTGTGTACGTTTGGTGATAATATTATAATAACTATTTCAAACATGGATCAGGTTGAAAATAAACATTTTATATGTGCGTTGCTTGACAGTTGTACTCATGCTGTTGTTGGTGGACTAATTTGGACAATAGTAAGTGTTGGTTCAGAGATGTTTACCAAATGTAAAATATGCTTGCAGTGTATTTGGTGTTCCTTGTTAGCAGCATCTGTTGACATAGACCATTTTTTGGTCGCAAGGACCTTGGACTTAAAGGTAAAAAAGTATAATTTTTATTGAATCCTCTTGTATGTAAAGCTTAGTCCCATGTGGATTCTCTCTTGCCAATTTGTAACCCAGATTGTTTTGTTTGATAACGGTTGTGTACGGTTGCCGGTAGAACGTCCCTTTTGTATGCGTTGCATCGGCCCACCCCAATTTTATTTTATTAAATTGGGAAACAAATTTTCAAAACAAAACCAGTGTTTTCGGGTAGGGACAAAGCCCCCCGCCCCCTCTGGTACAACGTCTAAGGCCAACGGGTCTACATTATAAAATTAGGCTCTACCTTTAGTCTGTATGATCTATAAATGTGACCAGTGTTTCTTTCAGACTTTTTTCTCTCCCAAGTGGGGTAGGGCTACTTGAAATGTTCGGGGTAGAGGGCGGACAATGGTAAAAGTATTTTTGCCTTGGTGTCACCCCTAATTGGTGTCACCCAGTGCGATCCGCACCCTCCTACCCCCCCCCCCTCCCCCCACTACGCCTCTTGTAATGCCTACATTGTCACATCTATCAATAGGTAGTCCAAACTGAAATTAACTATTGATTGCAGACTTATGGAGTGAGTATGTCATGAAAAAACTTTTAATTGTAAGCTCTATGCCGCAAATTTTATAAAAATATCTCAATAAATAAAAAAGTTATGCGATTTTTAAAAAAGCAAAATTTGGTAAAAAACTGATTTTCAAAAAGTGCCATTTTTGAGAACCCATATTTTCTAAACTAAATAACATAGAAGTGTAGAAATTGGTAAAGTTACTGCAAAGTTTGTAATATATATGCCCAATTTCTTTCAGAAAGTGAGTCTTTCTAAGGTAAAAAAATAATTGAAAATGACAAAAATGCGTTTTGGTCACTTTTATTTTCATTAAAAAAAAAAAAATTCATTTTTTTTTTTTGCTTTGGACGTAGAATAACTCTAAAACTATTGTGTTGGTAACATTAACAGGAAGAATGTGTTCATTATTTTCAAAAATCACATGAGTTAAAATATTATTTTTTAAAAAATGCCACAGTTATCTAGTGCAGGAGAAACAGAATCAAAATTTAGTGGAGTAATATAATGTAATCTAATAAAGACGTGATGCCTACAAGTGATGCAGCAGTTGATGCTACATTCAAACCTATCGGGTTGATAACTGCTTTGGGGGAACAGTTTTTAAAACCACAACTCCACATCTTTGTATGTCTTGTTTCCCTCAACCTTGATCTTGTGGAGCATCAAGAGCAAGTGATATGTTTTGGGAACTGTAGGGGGGGGGGCTTGGCCTTCTTCCCTTCCCTTGTAAGGAAACTTCTGGATAGGCCACCATAAATGTCTCCAGCTATGGAATAAATAATTTATTTAGTGATTAATAAAATATATTTAAATTTACTACTAGCCTATTGTGTAGGCCTACTATTTGTCCTATGACTATAACTGGAAACATATGAAAAAGCCTGAAAACACCTTTTTGTTAAAAGTAATGTATACTTGATAGTATATTTTTAATATTAATTCTATTGAATGAAATATTCGTTGTTTGTGCCAAAATGGTTGAGATATCCAATGATGAAGGTGCCATACTGTGGTTCTCAACATCTTATAGGACAACTTAACTGTCCTTCATTGTTACTATATGCATATAAAATAAATAAATAATGAGAAATACTACTATTACTACTTACACTTACAACTAATATAACATTTAAAACTAAGTCACAACATGTACAATCTGAATAAATTACCATCTAAAAATTGATCTGGTACATTTTATTAAGGAGACTGGCGCAGACCATTTCACATTATTCAGCAGGGGAATCAGAATCAGAGTGCACAACAGAAAATAAAAAATTAATCATATTAGTCCTTAAAAATTAGTGTCTTTTGTTTTAAATAAATTAATAAAAATGTACAGTTATTATAATTATAAATTTCTTTTGTGTTTCATTAATATTTTATAAGTATTTAACCTTCGTTCCCTGTAAATGAGTTCGTCCACATAGTAACCAGGATTGTCTGGTGGCCATTTTGAATTTGTCGATTCATAATTTTGACGTGATAGTCCAGATAAACTGTAGTAATACGACCCTATCATTAATCCCATTAGATAGATTTTAAAGAATTAGTAAACACTAGCATCTAATAGTTAAGTGCATCCATATTTTAAGTCCCTAGAATGTCCTGAATTAAATAGCTTCACGTCTAAACACACCCTGTGTACAAGCGTAGTTCACACGCTAAAACCGTGGACTAGTAGCGTTCAAATTTACATTAATAACGTGTACTAATTAAACCAAACTGATATTCAAACTTAAAATTCATTTATTAAAATGGAAATGAAACTTTAAAAATGATACTTACAACTTGTTTGAAGGCTCTAGCAAGGGTAAAATCCGTTTAGCATCATCGGTCGTCAACCTTTAAAACCGTTCGGCGAGCTACTAATTCGGGGCTGAAAGTTGACTCGAGGGTTATATGCTTGATGAGGGCACGGCTTCGCGACGGTAAATCAGAAATACTTGAATTTACAACACAAAGTAGTTATAAAAGCGAACTTTACTTCGGTGTAAAAATTGAAACAGAATTAGTTTGTTTTCGTGTATATATCGTCATTTAAATTTTAAAAACTGATTTTTTAAAATGAAATAAGCAAGTTATTTTTTCAATTTATACATCAAACGATAGACTAGAATTCGCTCTTAAAATGACATTAAAGATTATGCTTTTACGATGCTTCGTCGCGAAGCCGCAACTAAATGAAACAGTGTGGGGTCGATCGGTACTCGCAAAACGGTGAACTTTGTTGACGTAACTGATACTTTTCAAACAAATATAAAACACATTCAAACATGTGTTACAGATATAAAATACCAGATTACGACAGATAAAAACTTAAACTTTATTGAAATATAATTTTTATTCTTATAGGACAACTAGAAGTAGTGAATTTTTTTTTTTGAAAACCGCAAAAACTGCCCCTAAAACGCACTTTTTCGCCAGTTTGGACTACCTACTATCAATACACATTTCGGCGACATTACTGAACACTAATTTATTTATATAAAATCTTGTAATTTATAAGTTTATTTTAAATTTTTTTGATCCACTTTTTCAGGAAGCAACTCAAATTGTTGGCAGACCACCATTTCACAACACAAGCCTGATTTTGCTGTTTATATTATTTTTTGTTATGATTATAATCTGTAAACGAATAAAAAGCATTTTTAGTTATATTTTAATTTTAATGTTGGTATCATCGGTCATATCACACCATTTAAGAGATGCCTGTCATAGAGGACTTTGGCTGTCACCGTTTGGGCATACACCTCTATTTCCTGCAGTTCTGTATAAATCATTAATTGTGATTCTTGCTTTAATTTTAAGAATGTGCTATTTTCTTGTATTTAGGTTAAATAAAGTTATTAATTTGTAAACGCTAGTTTATGTTGTTTTTGCATCTTAGGTAACTAGTGTAATTACAAAAACAACGTATTTAGTTGTCTATAGCGACAATGTCAAGGCCAAAACTGAACTGAGTTATTTAGAGTTATTATGCAACAGATATTGTACAAAAAAGTAGCTGGTGTGACCTTAATAGAATTTTACCTGTAAACATAAAGACAGATGGACAAGCTATCAGTGACTGCAAGAGGTAGTACCGAAATAGAATAGTTTGACCTTAATATTGTTGATAATGCTGGGTGTATATAAGCAGCGCTACTTTTTGGGTAGAAAAGAGGAACACTGTGAGTGTGCGAGATAGTAGATGAGCACAGAAACGGATAGAGAAAGTGTGTGCACAGAGTGGAGGAACACTGTGAGAGAGAAGATGTGAGGCAGAAGAGAACATGGGACGACCGGAGGTAAAATAAATACAGAGATGATTGTTAGTAGAAGGACGGAGTGATATAGTGTTTGGACCTGTGACATTGGAGGTCTGTTGAGATTCACCTAATTATCTGAACTGTGATTATTCAAGAGTGTTGTAATCTTGAACCTGCGGTCAGAGGGTGCTCCTTTATATCAGGTGGGTATACCGGTGCCAAATAAGGTTTCCGCGGCCTAGAGGCGAGAATTCCTACAGACAGAACGTTGTAGGCCTTGGCGCATTTGGGATTCCATACAAGACCTTATATATATATATATATATATATATATATATATATATATATATATATATATATATATATATATATATATACTAGGCATATTGCCTAGCTTTGCTTAGGTTTTAAATTAAAGATATTGAGAATTTGAATGATTAATTAATTGGTAATATGCTGTTTTTTTTTTTAATTGGCATGAACATGTTAATTTATTCATTGTATAAAAAATACAATAGTTGAAAATGTACATGTGTAATTACAACAAAAGATAAATTACAATATTGAAAATGAGAACTGAAGTTCAATGGTGATATGCTGTTAATCGGAGTTCCTAGGGCCTAAGTTTAAAGAGACTGGTAATTTCTTGTCATGGTAACATTGATGAAGTATTCGCAAGCTTATAACTCGCAAAGTTATTAGAACTGCAAAGCCTTCCTAAATAGAATAAACAAAAAATATAATAAATTCAGTTTCGCTATTAATTTTTTTCCATTTTTATTACAATAAATACTTTAATTAATAACTAAATATCTATTCATACGAATACAATACGTTGTAATTTTTGTTCTTTCTTTAAAAATAGTATAACAATTATTTTTTAAAATATTATTTTGATAAGTTACCTCCCCTTTACAAAGACCAATTGACGTACAGTTTGTTTACGTTTTCACAAACAATTGTTTATATAAGAAAATACGTCTCCTGGACAAATCTAACGTCCGTAAAAGGTTTTTTCGTCGGGAATAAAGTTTTTTGTTACCCTCCAGTGTCGGTCTACGACCTCAGAAAATATTAGGGGGGGGGGGGGGTCGTTCCTCAATTAATTTTTTATATCTTATTTAAGGAGATTTTCCCTCGCGATCATTTTTAGCTTTGAGTTTGACCAACAGTTTTTCCACACCGCCTAGTCATCTATAGAGGTGCGTGCAAAAAATTAGCCAGATATACCGAGTTTAAGTACTCTAAAATCCGCGTTGAAATGACCCTCTGTTTTTCCCATAAAATACAAAGATTATATAGGGAAATACAACTGGTCAGTTTAGACTCAATTGCAGATTTTTCCCGGATATGCCGAGTTTTTTCTGACACCCCTAGGCGATCCCCTACCACCTCAAAAAATATCAAGGGTGGGGGGGGGGTCGTTGGGCAAAAGTTTTTTCGTAATATAGCCCATATAAGGCACGGGTCAGTCGAGGCCAGTTTTGACCCCCTCTCCGTGGACTTTTCGGCCAACTGTCACAGCCCTCGTGTTCTATCGCCCCAAGACATCATCGTGCAAAATTTGACGAAGTATAGCATTTATTTGAGTATAATTTGTGTTAAGTATTAAAATATGTATCCTAATTATAATTATAAAATCGTAGCTTCATTTTCGTTATTCGCACTAATGTGCTACCGACACCCGCGCGGAGCGTGGCGCGCTGTGGGAATATCCACCCCAATGAGGGGACCTCCATCCACCTGCAGCGCAGTGCGCTGAAAGAATAAAATGATTCACCGTGGCGGAGCACGGGTATGGAGCTAGTATAACATAATCTCGTAGAAAAAAAGAAATGCGCACCAAGTGAACGCCAAACATTACATGTATAATAGCAAGGGATATTATTAGTAATTTACGCGATTTCCGATTTCTCAAAAAACGCATGTGAATTTATAAAGTACCTACCTAGCTGGTCAACATGATAGGTGGTACGGTTTCTAAACGCAAATTGTTAATATTAAATTTTTATGTTTTACTTTTCCCTCATAGAAAATGCACAGTTGAAAATCACAAAAACACGCGATTAATTCTTATTCATCTATCTATCCTAATATATAAAAGCCCACGTGCGCACTTCTGTCAGTCCGCAATATTTTTGGCAACGTCGTCAGCATGTTCAGCAATATATGGAGAACTATATGGAGATACGGACTATTGTAGAAATTAATATGGTGCACGGTATAAATGTATAAACTATTTTTTTAAAGAAGGAAAATAAATATAAAAGCATATTTGAATGTAGAAACAGATTTCTAACAAAATCGTTTATTGTCGTGACAAGAACGCATTAAACAATGACGTCACATATCATATGTTTACACTAAGGAAAGAACACAAAACTATTGGCGTAATCTTCCAATTTTAGAATATAAAGAAATGAACTATTTCATTCAAAGTTGAATTAGATCTACATACGCTACGAAATGTATACAATCCTAAATTATTTTATATAAATCTTTGTTGGTTTAGCTATTGTATTGGCTGATTTGGGATAACTTAAGTTTCTAACGCGGACTCCCTATGTAAACTACACCACTAATTTTATATCTATTCGGAACTTCCCAGATAGCTGAGTTGATAGTGTAACAGTTACCATGCGGGCGGTACGGGTTCAAGAGTAGAGTTCACCCGTATCTGTCTTCACAGCATATGAAGCGATATTTTGTCCGAGGAACATAAGAGTAAGAGTGATTCCCGTCTGTGATGGGGGGGGGGGGGTATGTATATTTTCTCTATTTATGTTCTGGTCTATGTATCTATATTCCTCGTGGCGGAGCACGGGTATGCAGCTAGTATATCTATATATATATATAAAGCAATGTTGTCGGGACCGATAGGGCACTTCCTGGCGCCGCAGGCGCTTCAAATTCGGCGTGAGTCTGCCTTGGGGCGAAAGAACACGAGAGGGGGCCAAAACTGGCCTCGAGTGACCGGCGCCTTACATGGGCTATATTATGAAAAAACTTTTGCCCGATGACCCCCCTTGAAATTTTGTGAAGTGGTAGGAGAACGCCTAGGGGTGTCACAAAAAACTCGCCATGTCCGGGAAAAATCTGGAAATGGGTCAAAACTGACCACTTGTATTTCCCTATATATTCATTGTATTTTATGTGAAAAGCAGAGAGTAATTTCAACAAAGATTTCAGGGTACTTACCCTCTGTACATCAGGCTAATTTTTGCCATACTCTTAGGTAAATGGCTAGGCCGTAGGGCAAATATGTCGGTTTAACTCAAAGCCCTCTACGAGGGCTAAAAAGTGACCGCCAGTGAAATTCTCTTTATATGAGCTCTATTACGAAAAAAGCTTTTGCCCGACGACCCCCCCTTGAAATTTTGTTAGGTGGTAGGAAAACGCCTATAGGGGTGTCACAAAAAAACTCGCAATGTCCGGGGAAAATCAGGAAATGTGTCAAAACTGACTAGTCGTATTTCCCAATATAATCTTTGTATTTTATGTGAAAAACAGTAGGTAATTTCAACAACGATTTTATGGTACTTACCCTCCGTACATCAGATTTATTTTTTGCAGGCACCTAGATAAATGAGGGCTAAAAAGTGAGCGCGAGTGAAATTTTCTTAATATGAGCTATATTATAAAAAAATTATTTTGCCCGACGACCCCACTTGATATTTTGTCAGGTGGTATAAGAACGACTAAGGGTGTCAGAAAAAACTCGCCATATCCGGGAATAATCTGGAAATGTGTCAAAACTGACCAGTCGTATTTCCATATACAATTTATGTATTTTATGTGAAAAACAGGGTAATTTCAACACAAATTTTAGGGTGCTTAACCTCTGTATATCTGTCTAATTTTTTGCATGCACCTCTATAGATGACTAGACCGTATGAAAAAACTGTTGGTCAGACTCAATGCCATCAACGAGGGCTAAAAAATGCCCGCTAGTAAAATTCCCCATATATGAGATACATGACACATAAATAAATTGACGAACGATCTCCCTAATATTTTGTAACAATTGTTTATGAAAAAGTAAACAAAGACATTCGTCATGCGTTCAATTTTCAAGGGAGGTAACATTTTTAAAATTATTATTTTTTAAACAATTGTATACTATTTTAAACATAAACAGAAAATGACAAAGTATTGCATTTGCTTTAGAAAAAATTAAGTTGCTAATTAAGGTACGTATCCTAATTAAATAAATTATTAAATTTTAAAAGTCAATGTAATATAAATTATAAGATATACTGTTCATGGCACCTCTGTAGTTCTCATTCCATTTTAGTGATACATTGCGAATTTTCCATTATTTTCTCTGAAAACGGACTTTAAACAACAAACAACAACAACATTTTCTCTAAAAATTAGCATTACTGTTTAAATTAAGCACTCCACACCTCAGCCATCTCTAAATAATTAATTAAGTATTCAAATCGAAGCTAGGCATCATGCCCAGTATATATATATATATATATATATATATATATATATATATATATGTGTGTGTGTGTGTGTGTGTGCGTCTGTGTCTGTAAACACGATAACTTGAGTACCGTTACTGCTAGGTTGATAAAATTTTATATATAAGTATTTTATCAAAA